AGACACTGTGAAATGATAAGAAACCACTGAAGAGTAAAGGGCTTCTGGGATGTGGGAAAAGAGAAGGGAAAGAAGGAGAAATTTTGTATGTATGTATATACAGGATAGTTAACATGGTTGTTCTTCTGTCTTCTATTTCTATGCTGAAAGAAACTGTCAATGAGTCTTTGGTTGACCAGTATTGCATGTCTATATCTGTTTTCATGAGAAGCCACTTTGAAGATATCAATATGTAATACAACCACCATTGTTAATTCCCTACCACTTTGTTTGTAACTCTGTATTGTCTGTATTGTGCTTGTGATATGTTGTAAAATGTTGTATGTCTGTTAATGTTTCCCTCCTTTTATCTTTAAAATTAAAAAAAATTAAAAATAAAAATAATAAAAATAAAAATTCCCACCAAAAGTAGTAATTAATTTAAGACCGAAAAGATGAAAAGGACTTTTTCCTGGGAAAGGTCTGAGGTAGGATGAGGTCGGGAGAGAGGAAGAGCACTTCCCGCTGCAGTGGGGAATCACAAAGAGGAGGTGGGTGAGATTCAGGAAGGGATCGTATACTAAGGGCAAAAAGGCAGACCCTGGGTAAGTTCGGCAAGAGACATACTCAGTAAATGTTTTTGCAAAAGCACCCTTTGGCTGTGGAATAGAAAGTGAATGGAGGTATGGTAGGGTAGCATGAATCCACCTAGGTGAGTCTTTCAGGAAGACTTCAAAGGGACTGGTACAAGGGTGGCAGGAATGTGGGAGAGAAAAGCACTTTTGGGGGCTGCATAGGACAGGTGACCAACTGGATGGACACGGGAGCCCGCGAGGAAGAGAAGAGTCAAGGTGACCGGTCAGGCTTACTGTGGAGCCCCTGGTCAGATGCAGGTGCTTTTCAGCAAGGAGGGAATAAACCCTAGATCTTGGAGAGGAAACTGATCTGATGGAGAAATACTACAGGAAAGTAACCTGCAGCCCTCAAATAGAGGTGTCCAAGTCGAGTCGCATGACATTCAGAAACCTAGTAAAAACAGCATGAGTTAATGTTTAGAAATGTGCATCCCTGAACTAGCTGCACATTTCTTAATTGTGTGTTTGACTGAGGTGATGACGACAGGCTGGGCAGGACAGAGGGGTGAGCTGCGTCCCCCACAGAAGTATGGAGCCCTAATTCCACAGTACATAGGAGTTACCTTATTCGGGTATAAGGCTGCTGCAGATGTAATCAAGTTAAGGTCACAGAGGAATTAAAGTTGAGCCTACATTTAATACATAACGTCTTTATAGGGGGCAGGAGATTTGGGGACTCAGGAGAGAAGGTCACATGGAGACAGAGGAGGAGACTGGCATGGTGCTGCTCTGCAAGCCCAAGAGGCCAGGAGCCACCAGGACCTGGAAGAAGCAAGGACAGATTCCTTCTTAGAGCCTTCTGAAGGAGTGTGATCCTGCGAACAGCAGGACTTCTGACCTCACGAACCACGAGAAAATAAACTGTTTTGTGAAGTCATTCACTTAAGTCATCCGCGGTGTTTCGATACAGTGGCTGTAAGAAACTAACACAAGGACACAAGGTCTGCTTTCAGCTTCGGGCAAAATTGGGAGGGAGAGTATAAGGTGCCAAAGGAGAATGATAATAGGACAGGTAAGTGCCTTACACAAATTTGAACCTAACTGGGTCTTAGATTCTGTTTTTGCATTTCAAAACTAGGGACAATAGTACTTAGTGCTGTATATGTGAGTGTCATCGGCAATTAAATATAGTAAGTCAGCAGTAGGCACAGAGTGGATATTACAAGTTAGTGTTTACTCATCCATGAGTACAACTTGTCAGTCTATTGTTTCATAATACAGTACCACTATGTTGCCGGGTGGTATCTGCCAGTCACCCACACCTTCGCTACTCTGGAGGTAAAATTAGCCTACAGTCTGCCGTCATTGTAAATGTGGCTCTCAATTTTGCCCCACAAGGACACTCGGCAGTGTCTGGAGACAATTTTGGTTGTTGCGCCTGGGGCGCGAGGTCCCACTAGCAAACAGTGGGCAGAGACCAGGGACGCTGCTGAAACCCTCTACAGAGTGTGGACAGCTGTCCCCAGCGAGGCACCATCAGATTCAATGCCACTGTCCTAAGGGTGAGAAGTTTACTCTACTGGGACCTGGGGAGCTCCTAGTCACCACTCCAAATAACAAAAAATTCACTTTCTCATTGAAAGTATGAGAACTAAACATGTATCCTTTTAAAATTTGGTAAGAGCAGTGACAAGGCTGGGAATATAGCTCAGCGGAATTACGCCTGCTTGGCAAGCGTGAGGTCCTGAGTTCGATTCCTGGTACAAAAAAAATTAGCAAAGAGCAGAGTGACAGAAAAGCAGCCCGGAGGCTCTGAAAACTTTCAACTTTCTTCTAATACTTTAGGAGAAGTAAAAATTTCTGTCCTTGAAGCTGCTAACCAAGCCCAGCTCTACACACACTAGCAATCGTACATGTTCTACAGACCTGAGAGACCATACACCCAGCAATTTATGTAGTGCACTCAACTTTAAAAACCACCTGGCAGTCTGGACCGGAGGAGGGAGAGCAAACTGACCCCTTAAGGAGATACTCCCAGTAGCCAGGGAGCCTCCCTGAAGCTGAAAAGCACTGGAGATCCAAAATCTAAGCTCCTGGATTGGACTGTGGAATTACTAGCAGGCAGTGGGTGGGGTATCAGTTCTAAAGAGTTGGAACAGGTAAGGATCCCTTATCTGCACCTTGTACCCAAATCTAAATTATTGCCTCACTCTAAGCTGCTGTATCTGCTCTGCTGCTGCCTCTGGCATGCAAAGCATTTGCAGTTGCCTCCTTGAAGCTATCATGTAAATATGGCTGTGCATACTGTACATTTTTAACCTGCCTTGCTTATCAAGCTTTTATCATCTGCTTATTACCTTTACCACAAATTCAGATCATCAAGTTAAGCCTCCAATGCTATTTTCTTCCTTAAGAGCCCCCTGAAGTATGATGAACTGATCGGTAAGGCAAGAACATCTTAGCTGCGGTACAGGTAATGTTAGGTACTCAGGTTGCCCTCTTCACTGGAGCTGTATTGTCTTGCTCTTTCTGTTGATATAAGTTAAAATACACCTGAGCAATAAATGTGGGATAGCCAGGAGAGAGATGTTAAATGTCATGGCATGATCACCTGTGGAGGGTACAGTAAGCTGCTAGGCGGGATAGCAAATACCTTAGTTTTAACTTTCAGAAGTCTATATATATTACCTTGTTCCACGCAAGCGAAGGAATAAAAGTTGCATATTCTTAATGTTTTCCTCAAGCTGCCAAAGTCATCATAATCAAAACTACATTAATATTTAACTAGTTTGGTATTGTCACAGTGTATTTTATTATTTAAGTCAAGAGATTAGGTAAAGATTTTGGTCCATTTAGGTAAAACAAATATTTGAACAGCTGGAAGATGTTAAAAGTTAAGAGTTCCAGTATTGGAAGAGACTATATAGTCACTCCCTTAAAAAAAAAAAATCTTAAAGGCAAAAGAAACCAACGAATACAAAAATAAAAAATTATAATATCTATTCAATCTGTACTTATAAAACTATCACCTAGGGGCTGAGGATTTAGGTCAGCGGCACAGAGCCTGCCTGGCAAGCGTGAGGTCGTGAGTTTGATTCCCAGTACCGGAAAAAACCCCAAAAATAAGAAATAAATAAATAAATCTATCACCTACTAGAATTATTTAGAGTATCTCAGGCAAAAGAAGTAATTTCTCCTTGGAGATATGGAAACACTATTTTCCTAAGAATGAAAATTGGCACTTTACTGCACTTTCTTATAGCCACAATATGGCTTTGCAGAGACAACCATACGAAGTTTTCATTTTTACCTAGACACTAAGTGGCTGAACATCTCATAATGTGGTGTGATTACGAAGAAAAGCTCAACCTGTTTCAATATAGTTTGAATTCTCGAGCCACAGTCAGTAACTCAGAAGCAGCACTGACAAATATTTCATGATTTGGACCTTTACTTGGTATTTTCTTAGGGGTCTGTTTCTATGATTCTCTCCAATTTGGCCTAAATTTTACCCTGTGAATTACCCCTACCCCATCATACACCACCAAGTCAGCCCACCATTATTTCCTTCATCTAAGAAAAAAACATACTACAGACTTATGTTTTTATTCTAAGTCCATATTCTAGAAAAGATGAAATACTTAGGCAGGATCATCAGGCAAACAGTTTACCACACAACATGCGTCGGGTACATTTAATACAGAATGCTCCCTAGGAAAGAGCTGAGGAGCGGTGTGTGTGTGTCTGTGTGTGGGTGCGGGGTGCGGTGTGAGCGCGTACACGCACGCGTGCATGTTTGTTTTAGAGCAGGAACAGTTTTAGAATGCAAACATTACACAGTAACGGCTTTTGTGGTATTCTTCCTGGACATTTTCTGGAGCTGGGCATAAGTACACAGCAGAAGCCGGAAGTAAGAGGCTCAAACACTGCCAAACAAGGACTTTCTTCTTTTCAGACGAGAGGACGGTTAACACCTCCTCAGGCCTGGATGAACTTTGTAGATTAACAATCATTAGGAACTATGGATTTTAAATTAAATCACAAGGAACACTGGAGTTACCCCCAGCCTCTTTTTAACCATTTAATCTGTTTTATACACAAGTTTTATGACAGAAGAGTGAAAAGCGGTGAAGGGGAATTGTGAGAGTGCCGCCTCCCGGGATGCCAAGGGAACAGCGTGATACCTGCGCGTGAAATGCTTGGTGGTCGCTTGCACACAGTAAAACTCCACAGAGACTGGCTAGAACCACGAGGCTGATACAGATTCCAGTCTTAAACACAGAGGTAGTTCGGAGAACGTGAAGCACAGGGGTGACTGATTCAGTGTATAGATAAGATAGATGCGTCTAACAGCTCAAGGTTTTAAAGGTGATCATCCCACAGGCACCTGAATCACAGAACTTTAAAACTGGGAGGTCCACCCAACACCACTAGAGGAAGGCTTACCTCTTCTTCTTGGTGATGATGAGGACATCGTTAAAGAGAAAGAAGTAGACTTGCTGTTTGGATGTCCTCTTCGAGAAAAGCACCGTGTCTTCTACATAGGCTGTCAACTCACCTCTTTTCACTAACCACCGGGAAGAGGAGACTAAAGGAAAAGGCTTAAGAGAGAGAGAGAGACAGAGAGAGAGAGAGAGAGAGAGAGAGAAACTCACTACCCAAAGCAAAAGTATTTTTATGATCATTGACAGCAAAATATAAGAATTACATTTAAACAAATGATATGTACATGCATCACTATTATATGCATCACTATTATAGTTGTGTAACAGCAAAAGGTAATTACAGAAATACAGCATGTTCTTCAAGAAAATTAAAGATAAAACCTTATATCTAATGTAAAAAACTACTAACTGGCAGTATGAAACTAAAATTTAATGAGGAAATGTTATTGGGTCATAAAACGTTATGAACCTTTTATTAACTTTTGAATGAGAAAGAAAATTGAAATCAAGTCATTCAAAACTGAAAATGAACTATCAGTGCCAATGGTTGTTATTTAAAATATCTCAAATCAGAATATAAACACAGAGAAATACATAGATAACTACAGTTACAAAACAAATAAATATAAAAGTCTGCATTTTCTTAAAGAGCTAAGAAAGGCTTTTTCCAGGGAAAAAACCGCCCCCCAAACTTATATTTTGTCGACTTAGTCACATGGTTAGCCATATTTGTGAGAATACCTGTTTTAAGTTTATGGTAATTTTCATCATATAAGTTGGTCCCTGAAACCATCATGCCACTTTCTGGCAATGAGCCTAAGGTTACTCTAAAATAATCCATTATACTCTCATAGAAAAGGCTATCTCCAAAGAATTACTGTTTTTTCTTTACTCAGTTTTGTATTTTAAGACAACTAAAAAACTCTCAAAACCACAGAATAATCCTTACCCTTGTGAATTCTCTTTTTTAGGAAGTGAGGGGCATTATCAGAAATGTTCACTGCCAATAGTCTGATTTAAAAAAAAACTATATCCATAAACTAAACAAAGTTCTTGGATGCACAAAATGTAAATGTAGTAATGTGGTAGAGCCAAATGTCATCCTTTTCAGGGAACAATGATTCTTGAATAGCTAAAGGAAATGCAGGATATTAGGGAGGAAATGAGAAAGCAAAAAAAAGTCAATTTTTGGAAACTTTTTTAATAAGGCTGCTCAGTAGTTACACACTAATTCAAAAAAGAAGGTGGAATATTGTGGCTAACCCCAAGCTTTTCAAAACTGACTATTAAGGATATTCACAGAGAAGCCTCCAGCCCCCAAACTCATGAATCAAAGAGCCAATAGGAACAGTTGAGATCTTAAACTTCAATAGAGAGAAGGACTACTCACTTCTCCCAGGAGGACCCAGCCAAACAAGCAGAGGTCACTACAAAAGACACACATGTCAGGCGAGGTCCTGCCAAGGGGCTTATAGTGACTGGGGAAAGTGAGCTGGCTTGCTATTGCATGTTAAGGACTGTGTTACAGATAAATTCCAGTGTATGTCCCACCCAATGACTGTTCATGGTTTAGGGGACAGGAAAAAAGTTTTAAATTATGGAGTCCTCATACTCTACTAGGAAAAACTAAATTTCTCCTTAAACATTTAAAATTGGCAGTGGTTTTCAATATGCCTATGCTTCTTTTGAGAAAAACAGCTATTATAAATATTAGCTGAGGCCGGGTGTGGTGGCGCACACCTGTAATCCCAGCACTTGGAGACTGAGGTAGGAGGATTGTCGTAAGTTCGAGACCGGCCTGAGCTACAAAGTAAGCCCAAGGCCAGCCTGAACTACATAGTGAGACCCTGCCTCAAAAAAGACAAAAATAAATAAATAAATAAAAATAAATATTAGCTGAGAAGTCTCCTTACCACCCTGTTCCCTCTCCACCCAAGTCCTGCCCACTGATCATGCCCCACATGTAACACCTGGCACTTGTTCCTTCTGTACCTTTCCAGAGATATCTCAGGCAGACAAAATTTTATATCTGACATCTAAATCTTATTTTTTCACTTAATAATAAATAAGAGAGCTTTCCATATAGGTACCTAAAACTCACCATCATTAAAAAAAAAGTTGACTAGTATTACATTATTTTGGTACTGTAATGTAGTTTAAGCAACCCTCCTTGATTGATATTTAGACTGTTTCCAACTTTCTATTATAAATACTACATCAATAATCGTGTGCATTATTTTATATATTCATGAGCACAGAATAATCTCTTAGAAGGAAAGTTGTGGGGTTGTAGTACCTTGCGTTTTGTGATTCTGACAGCAATTTCCAAATTGCCCACCAGTCAGGTTTTCTCCACAAGCAACATATAAAATTGCTCGGTCTATGTGTTCTATAATTTCATCAGTAAGATGTGTTCTCAAATGTTTATATCATTAATAAATCTAAAAAGTGAAACGCATTATCTTAATTTTAATTAATAATTTTCTTCTGAGTGAAAAATTATCTTTTTAAATATTTAACTGTCATTTTTATTTCTCTGTCAGTTTTCTTTTTTTTTTTTTTTTTGGTTTTGGTTTTTCTCCGGTACCAGGAACCGAACTCACGACCTTGTGCTTGCCAGGCAGCTGCTTTGCCGCTGAGCTAAATGCCCAGCCTCTCTGTCAGTTTTCTTTAACTTGCAATTTTCTAGTGGGTTTCTTTGCATCTTTCTCCTATTCAATTTTATAAAATGGGGATTTTAACTACATGTAAGTCGCAACTATTTCTATTCAGTGTGCTATTTGTCCTTTTACTCTTCTTACTTTTTTTTCCTACAGAGAGAAAATTTAAAAATGTTCCTAAAGATATCATTAGCATTTTTCCTTTTGATGACTTCTGGATTTGAAGTAAGCTAGAAAAGCCTTTCTCAAATTGCTGATGTCATCCTCAGTAAACACAACCCTGATTTTGTCACTTCCCACTTAGAAGTTTTCAATGGTTCCTAGCTCCTGCACTTTGCACGTGGAATATCCACAAGCTGCTGCGGAAACTCCTTTTGCGCCCCAGTCTATCCACACTACATGCTTGCAACTGTAGGCCCCAGCAGTGGGGGCACATCCTATACATGTGATCCGCTCTGCACTCCTGGAAGACCCTTCCTAACTCACCTCTCAAGGATCAGCTCAAACACACCTCTCCTACGATGCCTGCCTGATTGCTCCAACGCTGAGAGCTGTCCGCCTCCTTTGCGTTTCACGCTGTCAAGGGTCTTCCATCTCCTATAACAGCTGTGGACTTGGCTGACACCTTTGATTTTCAGCACTGATCTACTAGACCGTTAGCTCCATGAGGACAGAGATCATGTTGCCCTCTTCCCACCACCTTCCACAAAGAAGAGACTCAGGAAATTTGTTTCAAGAATGCATATGCAAATGTAATCATTAACTATGTCTAAACTGTACCAATAAATTTCATTTAAAAAAAAGAATGCATATGCAAGGACAAATCACCTAACCTCTTTAAAGTCTATTTTCTCATCTTTAAAATGAATAGATGCCCACTGTTACCTAGAAAGTGTCATAAGAGCCTACAGTGTTGCGAATATTTCTAAGTAGTACGAAGGAGCATTTCTCAGTGGTGTGAATTAACCCCTCATGTTTTATGAGTCATGTTTCTTCATCCAAATCACTGCAGTCAGGGTGTCACAGCAGAAGGCTTTACACTGACCAGCCAGGCAGGATGCCTGGACTCCAGTTCTTATTGCACCACCACTAGTCTGGTGATTCTGTCAATAATTATTCTCTAGGCTTCATCTTCCCCATTTATAAAATAAAAGGGTGTAGCTGTGCAGTATCAATGATCTTTAAATTCTGCTCACTGCAGAGAGTACCATTAAAGACTGCTGGACACTGTAATTACACTGCATAAGTTAGGAACACTTTCACCAGGAAAATATATGATCAATCATTATATCGTGCTTAATTAAATTTATGTGCTATAAAATTTACTGCTCATAGAATCATAATTGTGAGCATTTCCATCCATTAAGAATCCGGCTGTGAACCAACAAAGAACTGGCGGAGAACTAGATTTGCGGTTCACTGGCAATATTTCCTTCTTTATTCATCCTGTCATCTGGCGAGGAGCAGGCACTGACAGGCAGCACATATTCAAAAACTGTTACAGGAGAAAAACTAACTTTAAAAAACCACCCACTGTCAACCTTTTCTGCAAACAACAAAAGAGTGTGCTCATTTGATTTAAGGGAACATTAGGATCCAGCTTATGGGATTTTACTGTTTTGCAGGATATTCTGATAATATTGGAGAAATCCCCCCTTTTTAACACCAAACTTCCACTATGTATTTAAATTACTTTTTCCCCCAAGTGTCCTGTAAAAACATGCACTTCTCAGGTAATACCTGACTTCACAGCACAGGAAAAGATCACTCCGGTAGGAGGGAGAGCAGAATTTCCCGAGACAGCTGTGACTCCCTGATAAATCTCACTTATCATTTTATGGCCCTTCTTTGAAAGTAAATTTCTATTTACTTTGTTGTCTTCAACCGCCTTCCTTCATTTAGATAAGATTTAAGCAAAAGCAGTAATCTATACAAGTCCAATGGTACCTTAATTTTAAATTCCAGCTGGGAGTTAATTGTATACATCATCTCGGTCCTTTCCATCTTTCGGGCTCCTTCATTGCACAGCCGAACCAACTGGAAACAGAGAAAGAGAGGTCAGACATCCAGGAGAGACACCTCACTTTCAAATGTGGATCTCTCACAGGAAATAATTCACACTTGGGAAGCCCCGGAGACTTATCTCTGATAGTTACAGAACTCCGTTTTTCTCTAGTTATACCACACTCTACCCAGGCAGAACTAGTGATCAGGATGTAAAGACAGGAGGAAGATACTGTCCTGAACACTCTGGGAACACACTCCCTCTTCACACTGTTACCATACTCCGGCCTCCTCACACAGGCATTCATCTCACACTTCCGGTCTCTAACTTTCTGCCCTTTTCCTTGTCCTGGGCCCCCTTCTCTTCCACTCTTCCCAGGCAGAACTAGTGATCAGGATGTAAAGACAGGAGGAAGATAATGTCCTGAACACTCTGGGAACACACTCCCTCTTTACACTGTTACCATACTCGGGCCTCCTCCCACAGGCTTTCATCTCACACTTCCGGTCTCTAACTTTCTGCTCCTTTCCTGGGTCCCTTCTCTTCCACTTTCCAGACAGGAACCCCACCCAGCCTCCAGGAAAGCTGCACCCTTCCAGGACTTCTGAATCAGAGCAGCGGGAGGCAGACCATCAACTTCAAGGCCAAATCCAAGCCCAGTGCTATGTGCAATGCTTGTGGCCAGGAAAGGGTTGAGGGATACCTTCGGGGAAATGGGATGGTCAATGAGTCCTCAAGGATGGCCAGGCTAAGGGAAATTGTGGTGAACTGGAACCACTGAATTCTGAGCTGTCTCAAAGGAAGCATGTCTCCAGTCCTTTGATGAACACCTAACATCTACTGGGTTTACCAGCCTACAGCAAAATAAACTACTGCCAGTTTTCTATGAACTGTAACATCCGGAAAGAAGGTCCATATGTGAGTCACTAGCCAGAAAGACCATGATTATTAAAAATAATGGCTGGAAATTTTATTTTTAATAGTTATTTACTAAATAAATAATACATGCTCCATGGTAAGACATAAGTAAATAACGATAATACAGAACTAGATTAAAAATAAGCCACAAAAGTCCTGATCTACTCCTATTACTTAGCAGTAATTGCAAACAGATTGAGTTTTAGACTTTATATTTTTTCCCTGTACTTATGTGGATGCACAAATACACATATATATTAGTAGAAATCTTTCTTTTGTTTTTGGGTCAGTCTATGCTTGCCTGTGACTTTCTTCATTAACCAGTGCTATGGACTGAATGTATGTATTCCACAAATTTATATGCTGAAATCCTAAACTCCAATATACTGGTATTAGGAGGTAAGGCCTTTGGGAGGGAATTAGGTAATGAAAGTTGCTCCCTCATAAATGGCAGTAGTAACCTCATAAAAAGAGAAGGTTCCTCCCTCTGCTCCCTGCACTGCGTGAAGCCGTCCTGAGAAAGCAGCCCTCTGTCGGTCAGGAAAACTGGCCTTCGGCCAACAACCAATCTGCCCATACCTGGGATCTTAGATTTCCAACTTCCAGAAAGGTGAGAAATAAATATCTACTTTTTAAACCACCTAATCCATGGGATTCTGTAATTGGACTCAGAACTAATATAGGAGAAATGCCCCTTACAATATATCATTCATTGAAAACAGAATAATTTATTTAGTACCTGCTATGTTTCAGGTGCCAGAGTTTCAACACAACAAAGAGACACACAATCCCTCATATTACGGTGGGACAGGCGAGAAACACAAAAATAATCATATACTGAGATCATGGAAAAACAAAAAAGCGAGGAAGCCTGAACTGAGGGGGCACTGACACAGCGCGGAGAGAGAGGAGAGAGCTGGTAGTGAGTAGTGCAGTGGCCCAGGCAGAGGGCACGCCGTGAGCAAAGGAGTAGATGGCAGGGTGTGTGCTTAGCAAGTGAAAATAAATCCGGACATGAAGGAAGCGGCACAGGATGAAGGTGGCAAAGAGCCCATCAACAGGCTCTTGGCTGCGGGATGACATGGTCCACTTTATTCATTCATTCTATGGACTTCCACAGCATATTTACTCAGCTCCAGACTGACAGACACACAATTTCAAACTGCTCACTTCACATCTTGATTTAGGGCAGTGTGCCTATCTTCAGTTGGAGTCTATCTTTCATTTAGAGTGGTCTGAGCTCATTGACACAGGAACTGCTGGCTGCATCTAACCAAGGCTCAAAGTTAAAACACGCTGGCTGGGGTCAAGGGCAATCTGGAATGGGAATATCCTGAAAGGCTCAGGGCATGGCAGGGAGCAGTTCAAGCACTGTGCTAGGCAGCCACTGATAAAACCGATTTTCATGATTTCTCTTACTGCATATATTCAGAGCTCACACATCTGTATTCCCAGATGTGGTCTGTCTCGTTGGCTCTAGGTCTGACCACCTAGATGATATCTCTGTTTAGATGTACCATAGCTGTCTTCAGTTCAGCAACACCTTTATCACTCTTATCCCAGCTGTGTCTTCTTTATCTGCATCTTCCTCCTTCTCTTTCTCCTCCTCCTCCTCCCCAAGCCAAAAGCCTGGTCCGCTCCACTCAAACCTCTCCTTCTGCTCTGCCTCCCACATCCCAAAAACCCTGAAGGCCTGTCCACGTTGCCATCTTGGTGGGTACTTCTGGGCTCTGCCCTGCCCCCTATCAAACTCTGGCTCAGACGCCTTCTTTGCCTAAATGTTGGCCTCTTGATTCTCTCCAGTTTCCTCTGAACCTACCCTTACCTATGTTCATACTCCCCACTTAACGTTCAAGGATCAACTCGAGCTTTAGCTCTCCAAGAAGACTGGAAAGCAGAGATGATATAAAATTGGCATACGCACGGCACCTGCCTAAAACACAACTGAGACATTTACAAGTGTTCCTGCATAAATAAAGGCAGTGTACTACTCACTCACAGAAATCAGGAACAATTCTTTTCTAGTTATCCCTTTTTAAAATTAAAGGTGAAAATGAAATTATTATGGTTGAATTATCATCTTCCAATCACAAATCCATCAACAAAAGATGGAGTCCTGCAACCACTGGGTAAATCCGGAAGAAACCAAAGGTGTCTGAGAAGACACGGTAAAAACACCAAAGGCCTTCAGATATCTTAAGCAATGGTGTCAGCTGCAAGCCTATGTTGAAGGGACAAGCACTAATTTGGGAATGTGTGTCCCACTATTTTCATTCAAAGCAGCCTCAGCATATTAAAGCCAAATCTTTATTCAGCATCTGCCAAAGCTTTATTAAATTTAGTTCATTCAATTTTTTTTCGTTTTAGGCCTAATATACATAAAAAAGCTCAGTGCCACTAGTAAAGATATATAAATTAATTAAAACAAAAAACTAATTAATCAAATTCACAAAACTGTTTGGTTTGCAGGAAAACAGGACAGACACATTCATGTACTCATAGGCATTCACAAGGAGCAACCTTCCTAGAAGGTGTGTTAGCACCTGAAACAGGGGCTGTAAAAACATTGTTATATTTTTATTCCCATGAATGCAATTCTAGAAATTTAGCAGATTACTGAAAAATAGTCAGATGAGCACAATCATAACCGTAAGACAATGTTCAGCGCAGCTCTATTCAGAATCGCAAATGCACTGAATGAATACACTCCTAGGTGCACATTTATCCTTATCTGCTAATGATGGAATACAAACCCAGCGGAGGGACCCACGTTAGAATGGCAAATAGTCACATCTGAGTGATACAATCAGTCACTGACACATTTTGTTTTCTGCTTCTTGCTTAAATTTTCCGTAATATACATTTATTACTATATTCACTTTCCAAACATAACTGCATAAATACTAAATACGTGCTCACAGGGCAGTATTTGAGCATGAAAAATAAAACCTTATTGCTTCTTATTTCCACACTCCTCCCGCTTCATCATACCGAGCTCTGGTTGAAAGACTGATAGCATGGCCACTGAGATTATTCTTTATATTAATAACACTCACAGGTTAAACATTTTATTAATTATCCAATGTCATTACACTACTGGTGTTTGCATTAGCTTTCTCATTGCTGAGATACAACACCAAAACCCACAGTTTAAAGCAGGAGAGATTTATTTATTTTGGCTCACAGTGTTCAGAAGATTCAGTCCTTGGCTGGCCGGATTCGAGGCAGAAGTAGCATGGCAGAATGCAAAGTGGAGGAAAGTCGCTTAGTTCACAGCAGCCAGGAAACAGGGAGGGGAGGAGCCAGGGACAAGCACAGACACTTCCAGGTCACGCTCCTAGCGACTCACTTCCAACGAGGGCCCACTTCGTAACAGCAGCACATTCAGCCATGAGCTCGTCAGTGGATTAACCCACTGACGGTATCGCATCCCCAGGATTCAATCACCCTCCAAAAGGCCCACACTAAGCACTAGACGTTCAGAGGACATTCTAGATCTAAACCATCACCATGTTGTTCTGCATCTTAATTTTACCCAATGAACAACACAGCTTACACGTCTTTCAGTGTTGATACAGGTTTAGCATTTTGTTAACGACTGCAGCAATGTTGGAAGAAAAGATTAAGATATCCTGCCTAGATACCTTGCTTCTTGGAGAAGCGCTTACAAGATTATCCAAGTATATGCAGAATTTTGATTAGGTGAGAATTAAAGCAGATACTCTTTTTCCATGAGAGAGTAAATAGGAGAAAGATATAATTCAGCATTGAAAACTATCTCTTGTGTTGACTTTTTTTTTTTTTTTTTGGTGGTACTGGGAATTGAACTCGACCTCATGCTTGCAAGGCAAGTGCTGTACCACTACTGAGCTATATCCCCAGCCTGAAAACTATCTCTTGATCACCACTTCCTACACAGCAAACCACACTGACAAGGTAAACTATTACAGTCCTTAGACTCTTCCTCCAAGCACCCGTATATTACCAGCAAACCAGAGATTACAGATATTTTTCATTTAACAAAACATCTTTCTTGTTTTTGAGTTGTTTGATTACACCAATAACTCCTTCCAAGGCCTTAAATGCAGTAAACCGTCAAAATCTGTCTTACGGACCTGCATAAGCAATTCCATGCAAGTGTTATTCATACTATGCAAGTGCTGTAAATTGCATTAGCATTTTAATTACCAGAAAGGTATCACTTATATTTTTCCCCTAAGAATGAGTAACCACCTGTAGAGACTTACCTAAGAGATTTAGGTAGACTCTGGTTCTAAAACCTTAGGTCCCCAAATCCCACATTTAATTTGCTAGAATAAAACACTGGAAATTCTTTGATTTCACGTAAGGCAAACAATTAAAATTCTACATTTTAATTGTGAACCACAGAAGCTCTAAATATACATTTCTCTTGTTGCAAATGCTGACACTGTTTATCCAGAATCTTCTGAACCCCATGCATAAGTAACCTTCACAAATAAAGAAGATTAATTTCTGAGTTGGCTATGTTGATGTCAGTTCCCTTATAACAGTAGGAGATGGTGGGAGTAATCCTGATATTCATGACAAACTTTCAAGAGAGGAAAAAGTGCTGCCCTTCAGATAAAGCCAGTCACCGGCACTTGGTAACTTCCAGGGAAAATTCGTCAAAATCTTTGTTATGTCCGAGACAAGAACTTCTCCTAAAGACCTAGAGCTTCTCCTAAAGACCCTCTGGGTACCTTCCTTTTCCAGGGACACAAAAGCTTTGGGGTCCTAAAGGAGAAACGCACCAGCAGTAGGACCTTTGGTAATCTTACACTTCTCAGGCTCCATTTTTCCCCCTGTGTTCTCGAGGTGGGTACGCAGACCTCAGCTGGAACAAAAGGTTAAGAGGCCCACAGACATAATTATTTTAATATAAAAATGTGTGTGAGAAGAATAAACAACTAGCTCAAAATAGTCATGATTTTCTAATCATTACTGGCAAGGATAATTAAAACAATGAGTCCACTTAAAGCTGATTAAAAGGAACTCACAGTAGTGGTTCAAACGTACCCCATTCACATAAGGAGATATTTAGGAAACTTCTGGCGGTGGCTTTGCTACTTGGTATGTAGCTCATATCGTACTCTCAGTACCTTTTATTGTTTCCTCCCACTGACATACTCCCGAAGTAGCTAAACATACCCACGTTTAGATTCACTAAACAAATAAATAAAGACCCTCTTCACTTCCCTCTTTGCTAGCTCTTTCTCCTTCCCCTCCCAGCCTGATTCCTGAAACAGCCAGCTATTCGTGCAGGCAGGCAGCACATTCTCACCACCCACTCATTCCTCAGCACACTTCAACCTGGCTTCTACACCCACTCGGAGATGCATCCTATCACACCACAAACCCGATGAACTCTTCAGTTCCTACTTCATTGTATCTTTCAGGATCATGCAACAGTGATAACCATCCAACTGTCTGCATTTGCCAGGCCACCTCCTTTTCCTCTGGCGTGTCTTCTTGTTTTGCTTTGTACTGAAGTGTACTGAGGTGTTCTCTGCTGGCTCCTCGGGCCCAAACCAGACCGTGTGTTTGGTGTTTCCCAAGTTCCATCTCACCTTCACTGCTCTTCTTGTTCTACACCCTGACAGTTATTCCCAAACTCCTAACTCCAACTCAGGTCTCTCCTCTGAGAGACTTGTTTATTAAGGCTTGTTTATCAAACAAAATTGCATGTTTTACGGGATCTTAATTACAGCATGTCCAAAATGGAATTCATCAGCAACGCCCTCTGTTCCTGCTAGGAATAAGACCCCCCACCCAACGGCCCCAGCCAGAGACCTACTCCTTCACTTGGACCCTAAGTGTGCTCACTCAGTCTCCAAGCCGACCCACCTAACATATAGGTTTCTCCCTTATGTCTTGTTAGATCAACTGTCACTGGCTCTGTAATTGCATTCATAGTTGGTCCCACAGTCCCATCTCCACTGTCATCTTCATAGCACATGAATTTACGGCCTCCATATCATCTTAGGATACGTAACAGTACCCCACAAAACTGGCTCTTCACCACTGTCCTTCTTAGACTTGGCTCTTCAAATCTTCCAACACTGCGCTGCCTTTGGCGGTCTACCCACTGCTGAGACATTCTGTTCCAAGCCCTGGCTCACAGCTACTCTTGCTGTGGGTCTCAGATTAAACACCACTTTGTACTTCCCTGCTGTGTCACTCGCCACGCTTGATTATAATTCTGTTTAGTGTCTGCCTTCCTCTTTACATTGCACATACCATGAGCACAGTAGCCACACCTGTCTGATTCATCACTGTTTTCAGGGGCTGGCATTGTGTCTGGCACAGTAGGTGATACTCAGTAAATATTTGTTGAGAAGAATGACTAAACTATTCACATGCCCAAAGAAAATGGTATCTATAGGGCTTTAACACAAGACTATCTAAAAGAGGAAAAATACCAATTTCATTTGTGCAAGTATTGTCCTGCTTTTCAACACCCAAAGAACTCTGTGCAGGTAAACAACTGAGAACTTAGCGTTCATCTGCAACAAAGCAGGACACACTGTTCTCCGGGGTTGCTGCATGGTTTACTTTCCCATGAGGTGTTCAACGGTTACCTTGCTTACTTCCTTTAAGGCTCTTTTGCAGACTTCATACTTTGGAGAATCCTTAGGTGTTTTTTGACAGATAGTCTATAACGAAGTAAAAACAAAAACAAATTCAACTGATTTATGTAAGGTAGAATAAGACCAATGTTCATCTATTTCCTCTTACTCTCAGAAAATTTAACAATGATGAATACAATATTGTACATGAGGATGAGGTCAGACATCAGAGTGAAGTAAGCCTGTTTTTAAATCCCAGGTCTGTCTTACACTAGTTATTTAACCCTGGGCAAGTCACTGGGCCCATGTAAGCCTCAGTGTTCTGATCTGTAAAACTGGAATAACATCAACTATATTAAAAGGTTGTTCCAAGGGCTAAGTAATGATGCATATAAAGTTTGTAGGTAAGTGCCTGGCACTTACCTAACTCAAGAAGTAAGAGTTACTAATGTGGTAAAATCATGTCAGAGAAGGTCAATTCAAGACGAACTGAATCATGGGTAAGCATGCCTAATCTGAAACTGAAATCTTCAATGCTCCAAAACACTTTTTTGAGTGTCATCGTGATACCACAAGTGAAAAATTCCACTCCATTAAACTTTGTTTCAGTCACAAAATTATTAAAAATATTGCAAAAAATTACCTTCAGGAGATATACATATATATATATATATATATATATATATATATATATATATATATATATATATAATTGAGGTTTAGACTTGGGTCCCAATTCCATGAAATCTCATTATGCACATGTAAATATTTCACAGTAAAAAATAATCCTGAGCATTTCTGGTTAAGGGATAGTGGACCTGTAAACATAACTTTGGAAACCATACTCATTCAAATCGCACAGATCCATTTTAATGGCTAAAAATGCTCATCTCAATTAGCAAGTTTAACTAAATTTCCAGATGAGGTAAAATTAAAGAGACAATATTTTAAGTACATTTGGATTTTGCCTGGGTGGCCTGATTCTAACACGTGGAAAGCAGGCATCATGTAAAAGTATAAGGTGGTTGGAAATGAGCTAGCTACTAGGTACCTTACATATGAGTGAGTACCAGGCCTATAAATCCAAAAGTCGGGCATCCAAATTGCTATATGTGAGAAGCATCAAGTGCACCAAACGTGGATTTATATCCTCATAATTTTTATTAAGAAAAAGGGCAAGTTCTCATAATTTTTTATTAAGAAACATATTTATATTGCAACCAGAATATGTGTTCACACAAATTAAACAAGGTTTTTATAAAATAATATTTACCCACATTATAAGCCAATTACATATCATTGACCTCGTATTCTATTCCATTTTATTTTTTATAAACTCTGCTCATGACTTGAAAATCAATTTCATGACCCACTAATGGATATAAAAGCAAAATGAAAAATACTAGATTATGCCCTCCACAACAAGCATACTTAGTTGGAGTTCCTATACTAAGATTTTATATAAAGTTTTGTACCTACATGAATTTTGGGGGGAAAAAGGCTACAGGTTCACTTGTAATGTCAAAGGAGTTTGTGATTCAAAAAGTTGAGATGCCATTTGGTAATCATGGCCTAAATATCCAACACTGTAAAACGTGCTATGCTAGATTTTGGAGTCTTGTTCTATTCAAATAATTGTCTCAAAATTTGGTTTTGCTAACCTGGCCATGTTCTATTCTCAGATACAATAAATACTGATCTAAAAAAAAATCAACTAAATTTTCAAAACTTCAAGTTTCTCACTTCACTCACGTGCTACACACTGATGTCTGGGGTCAGTGACGGACCATATAAGATGGTGGTCCTGTAAGATCAGATCACCTAGACATGCTGCAGTTGTCCTGGTTGGTATAAAGTCACTTTACAGTGTTTGCACAACAACAAAACTGCCTGACCACACACTGCAGAATGTATCCCCATCATTAGGCACCTCATGACTGTGTTTGTGAAGGAGATAACTTCCAAATGTCACCTGCGGGTGATGGGTGACAAGGAAGGGCGTGGACAGAGTACAGTGAGGTGAACTCAGAAGAACAAGGTGCTGTGAATTCTGAAACAACTAACAAAGCCTCGGCAAAACTGCAGCAGTGTCAACGAAGTGGCCATGATCACATGTTTGATGGATTTCAAAATGTCACTGCTGTTTAGTATGTCTTAGAAATTAAGACAGATCTCAGAAAATGGGATTTCCTTCTGCTTTATCCTGTGTTTTGGGCTGGGGATATAGCTCAGTGGCACAAGCACCTGCCTGGCAAGCACAAGGTCTTGAGTTTGAGTCCCGGGACCAAAAAAAAAAAAAAATCCTGTGCTTTGATTTGTAAAAACTGATGTCCACATAAGACTCAATTTTAAAATAGATGTGTGACAATCTCTTTTTTTTTTTTTCTCCTGGTATCGGGACTCGAACTCATGACCTCACGCTTGTCGGGCAGGCACTGTGCCGCTGAGCTAAATCCCCAGCCCTGACAATCCCTTCTAATCAGATCAAAAGACACCATTTGGCCCACTACTTGGGTGTGACCTGTGTCAGTTTATGCTCTGTGGTGCTGAAGAATCTCATTCTCATGTGAAAAAGAAGCCCCAAAGCTTCTTGAATATGCCACACAGCAGGGATCCTAGTAGCCAACCTGAGGAAAGTGAGGCCCAAACTAAGTGATCTGTTCAAGATCTGTGCTTAGTGGCTCAGCCAGAAATGGAATCCAGCCTTCAAGAAGCTGATAGTCTTCCCATGTCAAAAACGTTGAATAAGCATGTAATGTAACCAAATTTCACCAAAGTGACTGCACAAGCTTACAGTAAAGATTTCAAACACAGGTAAGATTTTCCAACCAAGTAACATCTTGTTACTGCATTAGTTGATCTGATAAGACAGGATATGGACAATTTAAGTGGAATATGATCATTTGCAACCAGATATATAGCAGCAGAGCTGTCCACTGAGGAAAAAGCCAGCAGAGCACGTCTTACGTCCATCAGCAGGGGAAGCCGGGTCACCCTCTGCATGGGGAGAATCAGAAAGGAGATCATGGGTAGGTTCCTACAGTCTTCATGGGACTCGATCCGAGACAACACTTCCTTAAAGGAGGGGTTGGTGGCTCTGAAAGAAAACAAAACAAGCAAAGGAAACGTCAAGATATTTCCTTCTCAAGCAAAGCAGCAAGTAGATACGTATTACAAAAAAATGTAATCAATTCATGTTATGAATGATTTTAAATATACATAAACATAACCACACTACTACATAGGCAACCACATATGACAAGGTTGAATATAAGAAGCGGAATCATACAACAATATTAAGAAGATAAAACTGTCTATGACAGAACTCTATAGACACGGAATATAAGCAAGCGAAAAGATCTCAGTATCATAACAGTGGACATGCCAAATATCAATTACTACGAAGCCTAGATCTCATATCTGATCAGCTATAAATACATTCCACTAATACCGTAACAAATACTATGGCTTAAGCCACTCCTCTAGCCCTAGCCAATGATCTAAAAAAGACATATTGGTTAGACCGAGCTTATTATCAAGCTCTTGGCCTTTTTCAAAGGTCCTCTTTCTAATACAATAGCCGTTTGACCACATAAAACAAAATACTTCTCTTCCTCTCCACTGATATATGACTAGTGGTGATACTGCCATTTTTATGAAACTCAGCAAGGTACTCCCATGTATATTATCTCACACGGAACCACACATACAATGTTGAAGAAAGGCCAGGTGGGGATTCCAATAAAAGAACGAGACCAAGAAAAGTCTAGTTTGCCGTATAACACACACCGCAGCTAGCAAAGACAGAAGGCAAGTCGAGGTCTTGCATCAAGTCAGTGTCTTCTGACTCTCAACCCAGTGTTCTAATTAACACAGTCCTGCTCTCTCGGCTCACTCTGCCTTGTGGAGGTCCCACTGTGACAGTGTCCACTGTCACCCTTCATGATGAAGGGGCACAGGGGGTCAGCACTGGACTGTGTACTCCTCTGCTCTGGGAAAAAAGACCAGGAAGCAAAATAGTGGCAACAATGATTAAAAATCACGTTGGAAAATTCAGTTATTCGGGTCAAGCTCACTAGAAATAAATTGGGAAAGACCAGAATAGCAAATTAAAACAAATCACACAGAAGTGATTTTCATTTTCAGGAAGTGAGAAGTTATCCTTTCCCAACAGCTCTGAAGAGGTGTTTAGGAAGTTAGAAAACAATCCAACTCCACACTTGTTGCACACTTAAATCACTCATGTCCTAGGTCCCTTCCTTCACCCTCAAAGGTTCTGATTAAATAGTCTGAGGCACACTTGGTATTGTTTACATGCTGGGTTTCAAGGATTCCTGGTATTTTTTTCTTCCATTTTTTTTTTTTTTAAGAGAAAAGAACAAAAACAAAATAACAAAAACAAAGACAAAAACAAAAACAAAACAACACAAAACCAAAAACGATACAGAATTTCAAAACAAGATGACAGGAAACAACAATGGTTGTTATATTACATATTGTTATCTTTAAGTAATTTTTCAGATTACCAGATATAGACATGCAAGATGGATCAAACAATTAAGCATTAACTGTTCTTTTCAATAAACCAATAGAAACTAGTAGTACAATTATCTTAGCTATCTTGGGTATGTATATACTTTTTCCTTTCCTTCTTTCTTTCTTTTCTCCTTTCCCTCATCCCAGTTGTTCTTTACTTTTGAGCAGTTTCTTTCCCTTTCATAATAGCTATTGTACCTTTCAGATTTTATTTAATCTTTCAGGTTCTTACACTAGGGAGGCAGTATGATGTTTACACATGTGGGTTTGATTTAAAAATATGGAACGCTTTACTAATCTGCGTGTCATCCTTGCGCAGGGACCATGCTAATCTTCTCCGTATTGTTCCAATTTTAGTACATGTGTTCCCAAAGGGAGCACAAGGATTCCCGGTGTTTCTAATGTGCCTCTGGAGTTGAAAGTCACTGCTCCAACCTCCAATTCAGTAGTTCCTGAAAACACTACTAATTTTCATGTGAAATCTCACAAGAGTCAAGGCTTGACGCAAGACCTTTGTTTTTGTTATTTTAAATTATCTAGTTATTTAGATAACAGCTTTATTTTTGAGTCACATAATGTATAGTAGTAACTATTCACATTTTTTAAATCCTGGGAACAAAGTGATTCCTAAATTAGCTCTAATTCAAGACTTTATTTTCAAACATGACCAGACAGTCTCACAAGTTACAAGATGACCTCTGTCCCTGCATCAGCGCCTTCCAGCAGGATGTGGAGTTAGGGGAAGGGAATGGTGTGACTTCGCCCCCCCAGGGAACCTCCCAGAATGTCCAGAGACATTTTTGGCATTGAGTGGGTAGAGCCAAGGTTGCTGTTAAATACCCTACAATGCACGGGACAGCCTTCCCCAACAAAGACTTACCCAGCCTGAAATGTCAGTAGTGCAGACAAACCCTTCTTTATACTAAAAACCTCATTGGAAGCTGGTAGATGTGGCTTTTCCACCCTGCACCTACGAGCATTTCGTGGTGATGTGGAGGAGAGAGGGGCACACTCAGCCCTTCTGACAATGTGGGGACCTTCACCGCTCCTCCAAGCAGCCAACAGGCAATCATCACCAACGTAGTTCTCCAGGGAGAACTCATACACTGCCCACAGCTGACCAGAGCTCCACACTTTGGTCATAAATGCCACAATCACAGCAGTGGGTGAGAAGGACAATAGGCAGGAAGCCCCCACGCTGGTTTTACCACAGCAATTTACAACTGCAATGTAAAAAGCTACTTGTGATAAACACGGTCCCTTAATACAGGACAGTATAGGGGGCTGGGGATTTAGCTCAGCGGCAAAGCGCCTGCCTGGCAAGCGCAAGGTCGTGAGTTCAGTTCCCGGTACCGAAGAAAAACCAAAAATCTTTCCATAAAGAAAAACCCGGGCTGAGGAGACTTCCCTGGTGACTACTAATACAGGACAGTATAGACTATCCTGAACAATGCGACTCTTACAAAGATGGAGATGGTACATATCTCACACCACAACTCTCAAAAGGACCAAAAGAAAAGGTGTGTAGGGGGGGACCTTAACGTCTGGCTCTTCTGCAGTATAATTAAAATCTTCAGTAATACCTTTTTTACTCCTTTTCATCAGGCCCCTTCCCCATCTCAGCCCTAACTACCCAGGATGTGGCAGGGTGGGAATCAGCAATTCCTATGGGAGAAAGATTAGAAGGGTGGAGAAAACCCCGTGTGCTAGCTTCTGGCTCCACCTACTTAAGAAGCAGCTCTAGGCCTCAGGAAACCACTTAATTGCCAGTACTGGCTTACAAACCCAGGAAGCTGAACTATGATCACCCCTGTGTCTCGGTCAATTAAAACAAAACCAAGGACAACAGCAACAGAAAACTATAATTTCATACACGCTGTAGAGAGAAAACTCCACAGACTAGATTTTTCCATTCCAATATCCTCACCCTAAAACTAATCCCCCTAAACATTTCTCCCCTGGGAACGATCTCATCAGGAGGCACTTCTAAATATAATTTAAGTGGTCAGTTAATTTCAACCATGAGCCTAACTAAAATGAAGTTTGACTATTAGTAGCATTCAATATGGCTTACAACAATTTTTGTAGAGTTCGTTGTTGGTAGACTTCATTTGTGCAATATTTCACATAGGGATCAAACGTGGATGCTGTATGCTTTTCTACAATGTCGCTTATATCTTCTATGACGATGTTATTCTGATGTCTCGCTTCCAACTCTGTGAAGAACCTGAGAAAACAAAAAAACAGCATTTACACTTTCTCCATGTACTTTAATAGACCAGACTATCCTCATGCAATGTTAGTACCATGTACAAGTTTTAAAATGTCAGCAGTATACAACATCAATCCAAAAAGAGCCCAAAAACCTATACAAATCTTGCTTAAATTTAAGTTTTCATACACCTTATTGCTTCAAGTGTTGGCTTGTAACACTGAAAATCATAAACACTTCTCTGCCCTTGAATTCATTTTAGAATACACAGATTTCCCCGCTTTTTTTCTCAGAATTCCCTAGATATGGGGGGGGGGGTCATGATTATACTGTATATTTTATTGTATAGAAAAATATATGAGAAAATACTTAAAATGAATCCTTAAAAACACATTACATATAAACAAAATTCTGTGTCCTTTCTCTCAAAATAAAAACACATTGTTTTAAACCTATTCATATGCATGGTATTTAAATTTCTTAATAATTTATGTGACAATTCTGAGTTATCAGACTTAGCGTATAGATAGCAATGTAGAGTATGTGTATGTACATACCAACACACACATTACACATAAACACACACACACACACAGCCATCGCTTATGCATTCATCTGTTGATAAACAGGGTCATTTCTACAATGTTGCTATAAGTATTCCCATATTACTATCTGTTTGAATCTCTGCTTTCAAAATGTTGGGGTATAATGCTAGAGATGGGATTTTAACTGTACTAATTCTGTGTGAATAACAGTATATACATCAAGATGTGATAGTGTAATACCAGGCACCAATACAGAAGAAGCTGGGTCATATGCCTAAGGGAAATTAGGTCACTAAATGAAAACTGAATAAGAAATAATCCTTTCCCTCTGGCCACTTACAGTTGAACGGCAGATGGGAGGTATGGAGCCAATACAATACTGGGTCTGCAACAGAAGTATATTTTATATATGTTTATTAATAACTGTCTTTTGCATGCTAACAGATGTTAATGTCTCTGGTGGATGCAGGCCCTCAGGAGCTCCAGGATTAGGTCTGGTCGCCAGAAAGACCAAGCCATGATTTCAAGGGTGGACTTTTCAGTGCCTCCCTCCTAACATCCAAAGAGGGAAGAGAGCTGAAGGTCGAGGTTAGTTAGCAAGGACCCACGATTTCATCAATCATATATAATAATACCTTCATCAAAGCCCCTAAGCAATGGGCTTCAGAGAAGGCTGCACACGCTGAGGTGCTAGGAAGGCAGCATGGAAGCTCTGTCCCCTTATTTGTCCCTGTACATTTTTTCATGTGACTGTCCCTGAGCTAATTCCTTCATAAGTCAGTATCAGAAAGAAAAATATCTTTCTGCGTTCTGTGAGCTGTTCTAGTAAATCAGTCTTTAGGAGGCAGATTGGGGGACTTCTTAACTTTCAAGCTAAGTAGGACAGAAATGTGGGACACCTGCGGACCAATACCTGCAGCTGGCTTCTGAAGTGAAGGCCGTCTTGGGAGTCTGAACCCTTCATCCTACGCTGTCTTCACTGTCCTCTGGTGCAGAACACTCAACTGGCACCCAGAGTCGGAGAATTGGTTGGTGAAAAAAAAAAAAAACCCCATTCACTTGGTGTCAAAAATGTGCTGAGTGAAAACAGCCTAGGAGGTGTATCCTGAAGGCTCCAGTGAGCGCAGTGCATGACAGTGCAGGAACCACGGGTGAGGTGACCTATGAGCCGGACAATAGGTCATGAGCCACAAGGGCGGTGTGATGGGCAGCAGACATAAGGGGCCGCACGGCACTGGCAGGATCTCATTCTGGAAACTCGTAGCTCAGGGAGGCTGAGGTACACATTCCAGGGGAAAAGGGGCCGAGAGCGAAGCCTGCAGGGCAGGTGAGAGCCAGAGGCACAGATTTTACTGCATGACAACAGAGAAACTATTAGAGGTGTGAGGAAGTCAGTAAATCATCAATCAGAGAAAACTGAGCTAAAGCAGAAGGCAAACCAGCCAGTGGGATGGCCAATCTGTGCACACAACAATCAAGGCCGGTAGCAGGAAATCAGAAAGAGAGGCACTTATTAGGTAACAGTTTAAAGGTACAATTAATAAAATGCAGAAATGCAGTAGATAGGAAGTCAAGGAAGGTGCTGGGGTTTCTGATCAGTGTCCACCCAAGCAACAGGTGGGTCATTAAACTATTAATGAAGACACACAGGGGGCTGGGAGGACAAACATAAAGGAAGCACTTTAACTCTCCCTGGGAGATGTATAACAGACAGCGACAAACACAAAATCTGTGAGAATTCAGAGGCACTCGAATTCTAGGTACTATACAGTCAGGACTAGTCTACCTTTAGCTAGTTCTCAAATAACTGCAAAATGTTTATCATTTATTTTAATCCCAATTGGTTTTTAATGCAAATTTTAAGAAAATATTCAAAGAAAATTGAAGAACAGCAGAAACTATTCAAAAGGTCTCTATCTTGAAATTCGAGGAAATAGGCATCTCGGCAGCCAAAGTATTTTACAGTTTCTTGCCTTTAGCTAACTGTGAACAGTCTGAAGGAATGCAACTGTACAACCAAAACCAACAGTAACTTGGCTTTTCCCAATGAAAAGAAAAATTTCATTTATCACCGTAAGAGGTTTGCCAAAGTGCAAGATTAAAACCAAGGTAGCAATGAAGTATCTGTTTATGCTACGTACTTTAATATAATATAAACTAAGCCACCTATCTTTTAGCATAATTAAGACATAATTTAAAGCTTTCTATGTTAAATAATCTATTGGTTATTTTGGCAAAGTTGCAAAGTTTGCGAAGTGAACTGAGCTACAAAAAGACCAAGACACTCTTCCCGAAGAATGAAGTATTATTTCAGGACCCAAGAAGTCTGGTAATTCAAATAAAATCTGAGGCAAAGCTGATAACATTCTGGTTCCTGGAATGAGACCTGAATGAGTTCATGAAGTAATGTGACTGATACGGAGAACAATTTTTTTTTTGGCAGTATTGTGAATTGAACCCGGGACCTCATGTATGCTGGGTATGCTGTCCCACTGCGTTACATACCCAGCCCTTCTCTGCAGCAGAATCTTACTGAATTACCCAGGCTGGCCTCAAATTTGTGATCCTCCTGCCTCAACCTCCAAGGACCTGGGATTACTGGGGATTACCTGGGATTAAGTGTCTGCCACCAAACGCAGCTAGAGGACAACCTGTTAATGGAAATATTATTTCAGCTCCATGATATTTTTTTCTGGAACACCTTAACTTCTTCCTCTTTGTAGTACTGTATTTCCAAGATGATCATGTTTTAGAAGCAGGCATGCTGTACAACCTTTCTCTTTCCTACGAAAGTTCTAACCTCTTCTTAAAAGTCTAGATTCTGAGAGACCTTCTATGGACGAGGTAAGGCCGCCTATGCACACTCCCTCCTAAGCAGAACGCCATCTGCTCCAATGTTAGGTAACTGTCACCAGCACACCCGCACCCATACTCTAGTAACTGTAGCCTGCCCACGTGAGCTCCAGAGCTGTGCAGAGACTCGTCGCAGGGTCAGCCACTCAGGAGGGAGGATTTCAAGATGATTCAGCTGAAGTTCCAATTTGAAGAAAGAGGCTCATGTAGAGCTTGTTCATGGTCTGAAACCCACCCTTGAACATTTCCTAGAATGGCAGAGACTGTTTCCAGAACTTCAGGCTTTTTGTGGCTGCTTTAGAAAGTCTTAAATGTGGCCCTGCCTTTTTGAGGAAAAACCAAAGTCAAGAGTGAGGTAGCTGTTTCTGATCCACGCTTTTGTTAGCTCATATCTGACACTGTGTGGCAGGGAGAAAAGACCTGCACACATGATATCTTCATGGCCCTTGTATCATGACTGACAGACTTCTTAAAAACCAGCTGGTAATATGACGGGCATATGAGAGCTCCTGACAGCTCTTGATAATACTGTACAGTAAGCCTACCAAACTGAGGAGGAGGGTAAAACATTTAATACAGACCCAAATAAATCCACTTCTATCAGTCAACCAACAAAATGTCCTTTTGTGTGTCTAGCACAGGGCAGCAGGCTTTGGTAGAGGCCAAAGACCAAACACTCGATAAACATGACCACCATCCATTGTGTCAGGTGCGGCCCACCTGCTTCCCATACAGTGTCCCGTTTCCTTCACGCCTGGGGCTTGCTGTATAAGATGCCCACCACAGCCATTTTACAGATAAGACCGTGGAAAACCAAGAAAACTCAGGTCAGTATTCTAAGCACCTGAGCTTTACTACGAATCCACAGCAGAACGTTTCTGAGACTAGAGCCTGCGGCCTGCATTCAAACCACCACAGCTGCTGTCTCTGGTCTCAGGTGCGAGCTGATCTTGCCCACCTGTCCCTATTTGCTGGCCCTCAACCTAGACATCCATTAGGAAGAACAGCTGAGACTGCAAAGAAACATATTATTTCCCAACAGGGCCAACTGTTACGTAATCTGAGTAAAGAAGAAACACAGATCAGCCTAGTAAAAACCTTCACGGGAGATCCACGCCAAGGCAGGATGTGAGGACAACCGAAGAGTCAACAGGAATCAACAGAGTCAACACTGAGCTTTGCCACAGGAGCACAAAGCTCTAAGAAAGATAATCAGGAGGGCCGCAGGCACAAGCTCCCTGGTCGACCTAGCGTGATGGAATATAGCTCATGATGTCCTGTGAAACTCTCTGGGAGTCGTTCACTCCACCCCTTTTGCCCCCTGCTGCCCTCTCCTGTGCTTAATGAACCCCCACTCAGGCCTGAGGTCTCAAATTAAATTTCATCCCATCCAGGAAGCTTTCGCTGACCTTATGGGATGAGTTAAGCTCCCTTCTTTTCATGGCTTCATAAATCCCTATATTTCTCCTTCAGAGTGCCACTGTGATCACAATTCCATATTATATGATTTTTGTTTACCTTTATCTCGCTTAGTTAGGCTTGGAGGAACAGGTAGGCCCCTGTCTGCTGTGGTCAGCAGTACATACCCCGGCTGTGCCATAGCACCTAGAACTTAGG